CTCGCCCTCTGGTCATTTGCAACATTTCTAAGGTATGGTGCTGAAATTTCTTCTCTCGGGCAATATTTGTCACCAGGGTAAAACCGATGCAAAATATTTTTTAAAAAGTCAGTCTCATACCTCCCATATATTTCCTATCCTCATTTTGTGTGAAAAGGTCAAATTGATATCCATACATGTACGTATATAATATAAACTTAATTAGTATCAGTCATCGGGAGAGGGGGGATGTAGTTGGGGTAGACTGCCACTTGTTGTAGGGTTATTTACAGAGCCCATTCAGTTGAAGAAATGTGGGTATTTTTCTTTCCAAATCTAATTGTTTTGGGAATTTTTAATGTGATTTTGGACAACATGCAACCTGAAAATATATAAATATGGGTTAAATGAGGAATATGAGCAAATATTTCATTTTAAAGTTGTCAGAAGAGAGGTATACCCATGGCCACTTGAAAAAAAGGAGGAACCTGTGAGATGAGGGTTATTTCATGGTTATAAATTCCTATTTGAAGTCACAACATTTTACCAAAATCAACAACATAAATTTTTTTTGACTTTTCAACTGTATAAACAACCATTCCCCACGATAAATTAAATTCCAGGCTTTTTTATATCAATTGACAGCTGCTTTTTCAATAAAAATGGAACTCGTAAATTTACTTACCTTGTCATTAGCAAAATTATTTTGTTAAAAACATTCTGATTTTACACACAAGTACTCTGAAGTTCATATTAAAACGATGCTTGAGTTTCTGATTGACAATATCTACGTGGTTTTTGGAGACCAGGTCTTTTAACAATCTATTGGAATTCCCATGGATACCAATTGCGCCCCGTTATTAGTAGACCTATTTTTGCATTCATATGAAGCAGAATTGCTCACTCCTCCATGGTACCTGATCCCACTTCTGATGTTTTAGAGGTCGGTGTTTGCTCTGCTCCAAAATTTGTATTGTTTAATGGACTTTTGAGCTTGAATACTGTTCGTTATCTCCATATATTTCATTCAGACGTGAAGTTTATCTCAATTATAAAATACTATACAGTCATATTATTATTCAAAAATTAATTACCATAGTTAGGTACATGTATTTGCACGCATATTAATCATTTGTTAATTTACATGTATTGTAAGTGATTATTTTGGTTTCATACATTTTTAAAGAGGAAAACTATTAATGACCCACCTATTACAGTTTTAAAAAGATTTTGCTTGTCCCACCCTAACAAACGCCCAGAAAAGGATTTGTCCCATCATACTTTGCACCAGTCCCACCTGGTGATAAATATTGCCTGATCCTTATAGTGAGTGTCAGGACAAAAACTCTATACTTTTTGTATAGGTGACATTGTATCAAGGACACGATTTACAATCTGTGTTCAGAAAAAAATGAATAGTACAGGAAGTGCTCATATACAAAACAAATTACTTCAAATATTGCATTAACTGACGAGTTTCAGAACACATTTTTATACAAAATATGAAATGCTTATATCCCTTTCATATTTGGATATTTTACTAGAAAAAGACATTAGTGGTAATCTAACAACAAAGCTTTATGATAAATGTGATGACTTTAACTTTTCAATCGTCAACTTCCCTTACTTATGCAGCAATATACCCTCATCACCTGCATATGGGGTGTATACCTCTCAGTTAATTCGATATGCAAGAGCATGCTCTGTGAACAATTTTTAAAATGAGGTAAGTCATTGACAAACAAGCTAATGAAACATGGATATTAACAGTTTCGTTTAAAGTCATCATTTCGTAAGTTCTATGGTCGATACAAATACCTTGTCAGCAAATACAATTTATCAGCAAGTCATATGCTGACTGACGTTTTTCATACAAATTGTTTGGCCATTATTTACACACTGAATTGTCGACAGATTTTACCGTTATTTCCCGATCCAGACAAGGAGCACACGGCGGGTTTGACCGGTTGGCAGGGGATACTCACTCCTCCACGGCACCTGATCCCACCTCTGATGTTTTTGGAGATCCGGGTTTGCTCTGCTCACGGTTTGTGTTATTTTGATGGACTCTGGGCTTGGGTACTGTTCGTTACATCCATATTTCATTATAATTTAGAACAATTTAAATCTTTAATCAACAGATCCCTTATATTCTTTCGTATAACAGAGAGCTTCTTTTAACTGTACTTTTTGCAGATTTTGAGGCAGTCTTGATAGAGAGTACATGTATCCTAAACCGAGCCTTACCGTCGTTCTCAAACATTGGATGACGTCATTGATTTCGAAGGAAACTAGTAATGAAAACGAAGAACATGTATTTCTTAAGTTTTAATTGTGTAACATTACAAGTTAAAGAAAAAGAAAACAATTGACGTAAATGATTTAAATGGAATGGCAATTTTATGAGAGGTGAGTATTGGATGACATGAATTTAATGTGAATCAAAGTAATCTAACATTGGACAAGCTCTTCTGGAGGGAGGAAAGAAAACGTGCTTCAAATCATCGATGATTCAATAGTTTCATAACTGTGTAAACAAGTTTATATAATAAAAGTTCTTGATGTTTTACCATCCTAAAATTATGTTTAAACAAAGAAAATAATGTGAACTATGGGGAAAATATCAATTTCTAAATGTTTTCTAATATCTTTTTTTAATTTTGTTGCTTAGGGTTCAAGAAGGAAGAAATAACATTCATCTTTGCAAAAAATAAAATAGATTACTCTACGAATATTTTTTAATACTGTATTTGAAATATTATCAAATTACAACCTTGATTTGGTAACGAAATGCAAATCTAAAAATATCGTTGACAGTATTTTAAATTTATCCTGATCAACATTCTTAAGAGACACTTAGCAACAAATAATTTGAAAACTATTTAAAATTCTAACGTAACCAAAAAAAAAAAATTAATTAGAAGACATAAGAATTGATTGGTGCAACGACAACTAAACAATGTTGCCCAACATATTTCAGCTAAACCTTTAATCAATCAAGTTTGAAATTATCTGTTCTACATGAACATAGGGTAATGTTTGTCCGCGTTAAAACATCTGTTTTTTCCAAGCGTAATGGAAGAGAGTGAAAAGATCATTACTAAAAGTTGTTATCTTCTTTTTTTTTTATTTAATATCTTGTATTTCCACTTCAATTATGCTCAAACGAACACCATATTATTGTTTCTAAGATAATATATATATATATATATATATATATATATATATATATATATATATATATATATATATATATATATATATATATATCATATTGGAAAGGTGTATAGAAAAATAAATTAATTCTCTTTGATAATATTTCGGAATTGAACAGGGCTATTCACAATATTTAGAGTGTAATACATGTTCTCTCAGAAAACAATTTTTTTACTTTATTCAGTTGATCAAGTTGGGCTGAAGATTTCTTATTTATTTGCTTACCAAGTAGTATTCATTGTAATAAGTCCACATCGAAAAACATATACAGTGCATATAAAAGAGAAAATGAAAGGAACTCTAGAAAATGAAAAGAATTAATCAGAGTATAATAGCAAATATTAAAGTGATATTTTCTGCATTTTCTTTATTTGATACCAACTATATTTCGGGTGGCAAATGTCACTTTATATAGCCAATGATTTTCCGTACACGTATTCTGTTAAACATTTTTCACGTTATCAAAACATATGTTGATCATGAGGAACACTTGGACGGAGTAAAATTGCAGATTCAATGTACAGAAGATAGAGATTGATTGTGTAAAATATTTCCAAACAAAATCTCCCCTAAAAAAAACTAATCTTGTTTATTGTTTTAAATGGTACCTGCTTGTAAACACAAAATAAAAATTAAATAATTCTCTGATTTTAAAGTGTAATAATGATATCAAAATGTTTTGTTTGCCAAAAAAGTAAATAAATATATAAATAAAATAAATAAATCAAAAATTTAATAATAAAAAAAAACAAAACAAACAAACAAATTCGCTTACTTTATAAGAATACAAGTGAACATGAAATCATTTCATTCAAACAAAGTGCAATTTAATCTGCCAAGCAGGTGCCAAGAAACTTGATTTTGCATTCAATGAAAATGCGAATTATCGCCTTCTTTTTTATGGTCACCTACGAAAACAGTCTGCAGCTGATGACAATATTCTTAGAATACTGAAGTAGAATGAACTAGTTCAGGTGACATATCGATGTAAGCCATTCAATCGCAGACAGTAATAGCCAAGCAAGCACAGTTTGTATTTAAAAAAAAGGAAAGAAAGAAAACATCGGCACTTTCTTCAGATAATAATAATTTTGTTTACAGACCATAGTTGTCATTTTCCGATCTATTTTAAAAGTTGTATGAATTATAAATGTACCAAGTGATAAAAACGTTCAATTATAGTATTGCAGAACACAATGAATTTTTAAAGCTGTAACATAAAATGAGACGATGTAATATTGCCTATTGGGTATATTCCATAAATTCTACCTGACAAATGAATAATAAGTGGATTTTGGTTCAATATAATTGTTTCAACTTCTCATTCGAACTCAATCGAAAGTTTTCTTAATTTTTCGATCACTTTCATATTTTAGGTCAAGTTTCATATCCTTGCACAAGTATTCAGACTCTTTAAGCAGCAGTAGTTTTATGTCTATGCAGTCTTTTAATGTAAGTACTGGACATACTAAATTGGTATCTGAAATTTAAAAATATATGATAATTTTTATACTTTGGTGCTCTTTTTAACGTAGACCATTATTTAAGAATAAGTTTAAGAATTATTATATACATGTAAAAATGGAGATTAATTTAAAAACTCAAATAGGGTATAGGGCGCTCAGTTAATTTATCAAGATTTATAAAAAATAAAAAAGTGATTCTTTTTTTGTAGATACATGTAAATGTTATATATTTGATCCCAATAATTTTCTTTTATAACATCCAGCTAATAATGGAGGGGTATATAATAAATTTATCTTTATTTGTAACAGGAACTTGTTCCAAAGAGATTTCACTTTTATACTTTGGTCAGGACTTCCGTTTTGAAGCCGCAGCAGGAGCAGGTGTAGTCCTCGGGGTCTTCCCAGCATTCTGTAGTCTTTCCCTCTTCTCATTGAGCATGCCCAGCTGTCGCTTTCGCTCTTCCTTTATCCTCTCATCTTTTTGTTTTAGGTTATTTAGCAAATTTGCTGTCTCGATTTTGTGTTGCTGAAAAAATACAATGCGTTTATTGTGTGATATCAAAAATATAAATCTCTGTTAGTGATTAAAGAAACTGATAAGATTGCTTTCTCTCCTTAATAGTAAAAATCTTTTCTACTACTTGAAAGGTAATATTAAATGGCCGGCGTATAACACGTAAATAACGTATAACACTTCTAAAATACATCGGGTAGAAAAATAAGTTTGAAATTACCCAGTAATATTTTCATTATGAGATTGCATAACATTTCACTTAGCCCCTAAAATTTATTGTGCCCAAGTCAGCGAAAAACTACCCTTCATAATTAGGTGATTGATGGGCCATATTATATCTCTGACATGCCAAAGAAGAACAGTGCACTGCAAGATAGCTACCCGATCGGATGTAGACCCAACATGCCTCCATTGTTCTAAGGTTTATTTTGAAGAGCTGTTTGAAATAGGTCGATAATGTGGACAAAGGTCTTTGATATCTTTTATCTCACGTCTGAAGTTTTACCATGAACATATCAATATGCTCAAAGAGGTAACTATGGTAAAAATTGATCCTGGTTGTAAATGAGTATACCCTCTTTGTGATTTACAAGAATTCAATGACCTGTTTTTATAGCTATTGAATAGAAATTCTGAAAATTGATGTGATTAGAGAATTTCTGATGAAAGAGGGCTTTAGTAGACAATTAAACAGAGCAAAGAGCAATAATTAATCAGGAAATGGTTCACTGTAATTCGATATCTATTTAACTTGCTTCATTCTGTGGTTTAGAGTATTTAACATTAAACATGTTCTTTGAAACGAGCATTATTTCTTCTAATTAAATGAGTGTGTGGTTATCGCATCATTCTAAAGATCATCAACATGCATCATGTATCCCTGCACACTCTTAAAACATTTGTTAGTTTAATTAACGTCTGCATAGTTCTATCTCTCTCTCTCTCTCTCTCTCTCTCTCTCTCTCTCTCTCTCTCTATATATATATAATGCTAGATATTATTGTTTCGCTCGTTTTACAGAAATGTTAGCGATGTATTAATTGTAAGTGTTATTTATGTTCATCAAATAATCAATCAAAAATAAATAAATAAATAAATAAATAAATAAACACCCGGAATCATGTTTATGATCTACAGATATGGCATCCGTATAATTATTTTAAAAGACTATTTTAACCTATGCTCTTACAGCAACAGGTTTTGTTTTAGTAAATGCCAAATTTTAAGAGTATGATGCATCTTTTATAAAATTCCTATAATTGACGCAGAATGTTTATTTTTACGTCTTTGAAGTTGCTTTTAACACTGTTCCGGTACGATAAGTGGGAAATTGATCAACAATTTATATGCTGCATCACCGAGCTATTACAACAAAGCTTCATACCCTAGCTGTTCCTTGGACTTCCAGCGGGCGAAGAAACAACTTGCATGAATTGTAAAACACAGATAAGATACATTCTAAATACACCTACATCATGTTTAAACAGCTTCGCTCTGAGCATTTATTTAAATTAGACATTTGCTTTTTCTATGTAGATCGTTGTATTACAATGGGATAATGATCTAAAATTTCCCCTTTAGTTACAGTTTTCCCTTATTTTAATACTCCCGTTTGCTAGTTTTTTTTCCCCTCCATAACTACCGCGTGTGTAGGTCGATCTTAGATACACCACGTTTTGATTTTTATTGCCCGTAGGCATATTGATAGCCGTCAAATTCCATAATTTTTTTTCCATCTGGTATATTACTTGTAGATATACCATACAAAGCATTTACATGCCATAAGGAATTCTTAATAAGTACCTCTATCTCAGTCATATCTGTCTCTATCGGAGTGATGGATAATGGTGGACTTGCTGTAGAGTTAACATTGTCTGATATGGTAACTACTCGGGTACTTCTACTTGTGTCTGTTGCACCAGAGTTTGTTTTCGAAGTATTAAAGTAAAAATAGGCTGGATTCACTGAACTTGAGTTAGAAGTCTTGTCCGCAGGAGACTCTTCGCCGCATGGTGGCGCTCTTGGGCTCTTAATAGCGTTCATTTCCGTGAACTCTGTTGGTTCTTTTTTACGAGCATTCTTCCACTTATTGACAAGGTCTAATGACTTTTTATTTTTTGCATATAGTTTTCTTTTAAGTTCTTTGCGTTTATGGGCAGGTAATTTAATTCTCGACTGAGCGTGTGCGTAATAAAGTGCGAAATTGTTAACAACTATCGGAACTGTAAAGGCTACTGTCAGGACACCACAAATTACACAAACACAACCAATTATGTACCCGGCTTCCGATTTCGGCACTTTGTCTCCATATCCAACCGTTGTCATAGTGACTAATGCCCACCAAATTCCGATTGGGATATTCTCAAAATTTTCACTCTCTACGTAGAAAATAACACTTGCAAATATAAGGACTCCTGTTAGCAGAAATATTATCATCAGCATAAGCTCTTTAATGCTGACTTTTATTGTGTACACAAGAATATTGAAAGCACTGTAGTGCTTCATCAGCTTGAACACTCTCAATATGCGCACAGTTCGTAAGGCCAGCATGGATTTGAAGAGCTGACTCGTGCTGTCATTAGGGTTAATGGTCACTAATATGATGGCAATAAGGTGAGGAATTAAACAGAAAATATCAATAACATTCAAGGGTTGACGGATGAATTTAAACTTCTTCGGCGCAAAGAAAAATCTTATAGTATATTCTGTTGTGAAGTATGCGGCACAGATATAATCCATAATTTGCATGACGATATGGGGCTGAGTGTCGGAGAATTCATACTTGAGTTCGGCATTTGTTTTGACACAAAAGTCTCCTGAAGTTGATTCCTTAAGGTACAATCCTGTTTTATTGATGGGACTCACTTTGTCGTTTATAGGAACACGGAATTTTTCATAAGTCTCCAGACAAAATACTGCTATTGATAAACAAACAAAGAACATCGAAATCACAGCGTACGCCTGAAAATAAATTAGGATGTCTGTTAGACTGAAGTCTGTAAATCTGAAATATAATTAATTTCTACAACAACTGAATAAAAGATATAATATTTATATTTCTGAAAATAGTAATAGATACATATAGTATCCATACATGTATTATACACAACAACATATCTGCATTATCGCGCAGGCAGCACAGTACAATAAGGATATATTGTAAATCTCAAGATTTTCCCGTTTTCCCGATCATGACAATGAGCACACGGTAGGTGTGACCGGTCGACAGGGGATGCTTACTCCTCCATGGTACCTGACCCCCCTCTGATGTTTGCTCTGCTCCCGATTTCTAATGTTTCAATGGACTTTGATTACTGTTCGTTATCTCCATATTTCATGCAATTATTTTCATGAGTCATATACGTACATATATTCTGCCCAGGTAGCACAAAACGTTTTCATAACATTTTATTCCCGTTGTATTGATGTTATCTGAAAACGTTTTTAATAAAACGTTTATAAAATGTTTTTAAAACGTTTTATTTTGGTTGTAAACACGTTATTAAAAAACGTTCTTAACAATCATTTTAAAAATGTTTTTAATAACATTTTTTTCCTGTTGCAAGGAGGTTTTGAGAAAACATTTAGCATTTAACATTAATTTCTATAATGATAAAATATCGCGCAGCTATAAATTGAATAGCATGATTAAAAAAAATACTTTGTGTAATAATTATTATAAATTTCATGAAATACAAATGTTAGCAGACAACATGAATACAACATTGTCTTAAAATGTTTGCAAAACATTGCAAAAACGTTACAGAAATACCAACTCCAAGCATAGGAAATTTTTAATTATTTAGTGCAAGACGATACATGTATATAAATATATAAAACTTTTGTTTTCTTATAAATAGCTCCAAAGTTTGAGTTATGATTGATTTTGAGTTGTGGTAATTAAATTTAGACCCCCCAAAATTAAAAAAAAAACAACAACAAAACAACAACAACAACCCAGAAATGTGTTCATATTTTTCTTTTATACCATTGTAAAAAATATTTATATATAACAAGGAGAGTAAAAAAAATTCCAAAAACTTATTTGTTCAACAAAGTTCCTGAATTAAAAAATTCAGTGGAGTCATTTATTTGTGCTATGGGAAATAAGTTTCCCCTTCGATAATGTGTTTATCGAGAGTTAATTGAGTGACACAGCGGGATGCCATGGCCAGGGCTGATGCAGCCGATCCTTGTTGCAAACTATGTCCATGTGATCTATATAGGTCAACAGAATCACAGTTTTGAAAAACCCGGCGGCATTCTTGTAAGACAAAGAAAAGGAATAGGGGAATACCTTTCAAATGTCAACGTATGGTATGTTAAATTTTAAATAGTATTCATTGCCTGTATATTTAGCAATCATATAGTGTAGCTTTAAATACATATGCATTTAGAATCTTAGATCTTTCATTCTTATAGACTTAGGTGTATATATGTTTATAAAGTTCACTGGCATTTGAATTAGGCGGGCGAATTATTGTTTGAAAACTTGGGTTTATTTACATATATTAAAATTGTGTGACGGGTTTCAAAACATAATTAAAACATAGTTGGGAATAGGAATGGGTGTGGGAGGGGGTCTTAACAAGACAGGGTTAAATAATTCTTAAGAGGTGGATTAGTTAGACTTTTCCGAATTTGAGTTATGTATTACAGAATACAATGCCACGTTAAACCTATTTTCTTTTGGAAGGGAAAGGAGAGGAATTAATTAATCAATCTCAGGCTTGATTATATATTTGCTATCAAATTTTGAAATACACATTCTTCATGATAAAATATAACACTCATTTTAGTGAATGCAGTGGTTTCAAAGCAGGGCGGAGATATGCAGGACAATGATGCAAACAAATTCCATGGGTCAGTTCACTAAGACTGGACAGAGGGTTGCACCCCTTTAAAGAATTATTAAGAGTAAGTTTTATCACCATTAATGCTAAGAAAATGCATTAAGATTCAGTTAACATATTAACTTATAAATCATTGGAAAATGTATACAGCAAAAGGAAACTCATCTAAGTACTAGTAATGCTGTATTGTTTTCATTTAACTATTAAACATAGGCGTCGGAGCCGGGGGGTCTAAGCCCCCTCCACCCAACTTTTTTGCAAAGATAGACGTAATAGAGTTAGTGAAAATTCGGGTTAACCCCTCCCCCCAACGTTTTTGTTGGTTTAGCCCCCCCCCCCCACTTTTAAATTGCTTCCGATGCCTTTGTTAAATATGTTTATAAATTAACTTATTTACATTTCTTATAATGAATTTCACATAATATTTTAGTAGCTGCTGCTTACAAGCCTTACAAAGCATCGAAGACAATCTCTTACGATTTAATGAGAGGTGGGACGAAGAGGTTTGATCCATACCTTCCTGGAGGAATTATTAAATATGATAAGGTACGTTTGAAGTTGGTTGTCAGAAATATAGATATAATACCACCTGTAATTTTTTGTTTATTAATACAACTGTATAACAAAGCATACTTTCTTTGGTTTTATTAGATTTTTATATACTAGTATGTTTAGTTAGTTGTCAGATGCCTTATTACATGGATATGTTTAACTTAAAAGAAATGTACGAGTATGAATGGGTAATCATTTAGTAAAAGTTCTATGTCCAAATTAATCTTTGTTTTTCAGAAGAACACAGACAAGTCCAAGTGTATAACAGATTGATTTCTAATGGAATAAGGATGCTGTGATCTTTTCGTATTTCAAACAGTACAAATTTCATTTGAAGGAAGACTGTAATTTTATTGTGCAGGTGTTAAAAAAAAAAACAGTGTTTAGACAACATTAATGAATGGATTTAAATTTATTAAATTATAAGACATATATTGTTATTGGTTATTATGTTGTAAAATTGATTTTTTAAATGTTTTAAAAACATTTTAAGAAATGTTCTCAAAACGTTTTTAAAAATGTTTTCCAAACGTTTTTAAAAATGTTTTTAAAACATTTCAGTACAATGTTTTTGCAAAACGTTATAATAACGTTTAAAAAACCACACAAAATAACGTTGTAATAACGTTTTAGAAAATGTTTTCATAACATTTTCATAACGTTTTTATAACGTTTTAATAACGTTGTTGTGCTAACTGGGTGAGAACTTTTGCAGACAAAATATGCAAGTTCCAAAACGTGATACAACCCTTTGATTTCAATGTAAATATATACTAGTCTACGACGTTTTTCAAAACTTATTTTTTGAAAGAAAAAAAAATGATGTTTACAATAACATTTTATCCATTTAAAAGAAAATTTGATCAAAGCCCCCTCCCCCTTCCCCAATATATTAATAATTCCTGGAACCATGATTGTAAAAATTAGACTATCTCACTTTTTGATCTCAGTCTCACTTGAAGAAAAGATTTATTTTGAAACTAAAAATGAGAAAAAAGGGGCTCATCTAATTTTGAGGGCCCCGGAGTCTGGTTCGTTGCATTGTTTGTCTATTGCATTTATTAATGTTCTAGATCTGATGTTATGACCTCTCATCTTTACGACGTGTTTTAATAAAGCGAAAACACCCCCCCCCCCCAAAAAAAAAAAAAATCAAATCAATCAATAAGTAAACAAAACAACAAACACACACACAAAGCAACAACAATTAAAAAATAAGACAAATCAAAACCAAACATACAAAAAAAATCAGTCAATAAAATTGGGGGAACAATAATAATCAATATTAAGTAAATTTGGTACAATAAATATTTTGAGCATAAATGGTAGCCCAGCAACAAAACTTTATGATAAACGTGATGAAATTAAGGCATAATTGCATTTTTAATCAAGACTTATATAAACGTAATATTATTGATAATCCTTATTGTTCTTGTGGTAAACAAGAAGAGGCCTACCATTTCTTTTTTGGTTGTAGAAAATATGTTAATGCCAGAATTGATTTTTTCGATTATCTTTTTAGACTAGATGTAGATATCATAGATGTACACCAATTACTTTGGGGCAAGGAAAACTTATTGAGTTAAACAAAGACATTTTTGCTGCTGTTCACAGATTTATTATTGAATCTTGTAGATTTAAATAGCTGTGTAATAATAACTTAGATAATATAGTTAGATAATATAGTTTATTTGTATATGTATTTGTAAAATTGTGCATAACTATGTGTTATATATATGGAGAGAAATTCGTAAGTTGTCAGACCAATTGATTATTTCAATAAAATATGTTCAAAACAATAAACGTGATGACTTTAATTTTTCGATCGTCAACTTCCCTTAATTATGCCCTTACTTATGCAACAATACACCATTATTACCTACTTTTTTTGTCTCCCAATTCATTCAATAAGTAAGAGCATGCTCTACGTATGAACAATTTCTAGAACGAGGCAAGCAATTGACAAACAAGTTGATGAAACAAGGATATTAACAGTCTCTTCTGAAGCCAATATTTCGCAAGTTTTATGGTCGATACAATGACTTTGTTCAGCAAATACAATCTATCATTAAGTCAAATGCTGTCTGACGTTTTTCATACTAACTATTAGGCCATTATTTACACACTAAATTGTCTGCGGATTTTTCTGTTTTTTCCCGATCATGACAAGGAGCACACGGCGGGTGTGACCTGTCGGCAGGGTATGCTCACTCCTCAATGGCACCTAATCGCCCTCTGATGTTTTTGGAGGTCCGCGTTTGCTCTGCTCCCGATATGTATTGTATAAATGTACTCTGAGCTTGAATACTGTTCGTACTGTTCGTTATCTCCATATTTCATGCAATTAATTTTTTTAACAATGTGAGGTTTGATTATGTTTAATTTCTTAACATTTTTGTGCATTATAAAGCTTTGCTTTGTATGGAACCCTGTCTATTGCCAACCTTTCTGTGAATTGAGCGCTGTTTGCATGCATCCTTAATTTGTATATTTGCAATAATCCAAAGCCAGCGGTGGGCGTAAATGATAGCATTACCTATTTTCTAGTAATATCCAATCTACTTTAGCAATTACGTGATTCAAGATAACTTACCAAAAAACACATATGTTGGTTTGTATCGGAAGTAGCGGAGCTTTATTCTTTAAATTTTGGATTGCAGGTGAAGAGAGATTTACAATAAGCCCTAAGGCGACCCACCCATCTCAAAATTTAATAGGTTAGTTAGCTAAAGATAATTAAAAACAAATAAACCTAGTTCATTCATTTGAAAATCGACCAAAGTATTGATCATCTGATTAAGCGTTGTTGTAAATCCAACCATCGGACCAACCTTCTGGTATGCGGAACGACTGACAACATTTGTACGAAATAGATCGTTGATTAATTCTTGTTTGTAAATGGGAAGTGAATTAAAATTCCTGTCAAGGACGTAACGATCATAACAGATTGATTTGTCTAGCAATATGAAAAAAGAGCATCATGCCTTATTCGAGCATCATAAATGAACTGAAACAAGCATGCATTACTAAATTTGTTTTCATTAAGCAGAATTAAAGTTTTCTGAAAGTTACAAAATTCATTGCTTTTTTTTAAATGAATACCTTTGCTAGTCTAGAGGATCCAGGTTCCTCTAGAAACAGCCACATATTATGCTTGAACCTACTGAGACTCGAAGGTTTATCGTTATCCCAAGCTGTGGGTTCAACGTCAATTTGAGACGTAAAATTGTCGTCCAGCGCCGCCAAGGTCTCCTTGTGGTCCTTGAATTTACTGTATTGTCCCCAACAGCACGGTTCAATGTCAAGTTCTGTGAGTCCCCAATATTCCAACTCCTGAAATTGAAGAATTAGATAAAACACTCCATTATAGCCTGACGTTTGGACTCGTACAGTTTGCAATTGAACGAAATTGGGATTGTGTTCTTGTTAAATATTGCAAAATACTACTATAATAGTGTGGTAGCTATTTTTGCCCGACAAAATTATGTCATTTTAGGAATGACTCTAACTCTTGGCCAAATTATTCGAGTATAACCTGGTTTGGGTCAGTTTACGCTTTATAATCCGCGAAGCGGATTATAAAACAGCGTAAACTGACCCAAACCAGGTTATACTCGAATAATTTGGCCAAGAATTAGAGTCATTCCTTATAATTTAATTTTAAAATCATTAAATAACTATGGGTGTAAAATTTCGTTACTTTTTATTAGTTCAAATTTGCCGCTCAATAATACAACCATAGTAACGGAAGTAACGGAAGTGATGGGAATCGAGGGGAGGTAAAAACTGATGCATAGGCATAGCAGCCATGTTGTTTGGTTACATGTGGTAAGATCGAATTATTGTTTGAATTTAAAGGTACATTTATTAAATCTGGAATTTTCCATGAATCCCGAGGACTGGAAATGAGAGGATTGTATGGATACAGATAATTCAGCTGGTTGTCAGGGGGGGGGGGGGGTGTCCCCATACCAAACCAGGTTATACAGAAATAATTTGTGTTCCTTTTTGGATATTAACCAATCAGAGGCTAGAATACAAACAAAATTAAATTATTCTCATTTATCTAAAGTAAAACTGATTTAAGATTCCATAATCGCTAATTAAACTGTTCAACACACATTAGAAGACAGTATATAAACAGTTATTTTTGACAGCAAAAGATTCAAAGATATTTTATGTCATCAATCGAATGTGAAAATTAAGTTGTTTTTCTTAAATTTTGATTTTTTTTAAATTTCAATTTATTTGCTTCAGGCCCATAGCAACGGTTTCAAAAGGGGGGGGGGGCAACTTCCAAAAAAATCTGACAAGCTAAAAATAAATAAATAAAAAAAAAAAACCTTAACTGACCAAAAAGAGGGGGGGGGGGCAACTTCCAAAAATTATCTGGCAAGCAAAATAAAAAAAGGTAATTTACTGTCCAAATTCTGCAACTTGCCAGTGCTGGACCTTACATCAAAAAGTGGGGGGGGGGGGGGGGGAGGAGGGGGGCAACCAGCATTTAAAAGAAAATTTACTATAGGAAAATAATATAATCAGAAAAAAGGGGGCGGTCCCCCCTGCCCCCCCCCCCCCGCGTTCTACGGGCGTGTGTTTTTATTCTATACAAGAGGCCTTAAAGACCTAGGTAGATCATTTTTCCAAGCATGCACGAGATGAAAAGTAAAATGTTGCACGTATTAAAAAAGTAAGGTATGCATTGCGTGATACAAATAATTGACCCCCAAAATAGATCTTGATTGCCCATCATCAAAATAAACTCATTAAAATAATGAACATGGAGGACACCTCTCAAATGTCTTTAAAATTTTCATCAACTAATGGTCCTCTTTTTGCCTTATCTTGCCGAATCTAGCGATGCAAAACGGCTAAATTTTTCATGGCATAATGGGGACCAAGATACAATATCACGTGTTTGAATCATGCTAATATAATATTCATTGCGATGATTGCTTCATTAAATTTCGGAAATTGTTTTCACTATATTCATTGATAATCAATCCGAGTGTGTCTCATAAAATTATTCATTGAGATAGATATGTGCTATTTTGTAATATTAGAAGGGAGATGGAAATCAAAACATCCATTTGTAAACGGGGGAAATGAACACTAAAACTTCATCAATAGAGAAAAACGAATAACACTTAAGAGTTAGGTTGTAGAGTACAACTAACAAGAGCCGAGTGGCCACTGATCATTAATCTGTCATATAAAATATTGATAGGATTTAACAGCAAGCAAGATCATCACAATTACAATACACTCAACTTTCTGGTCCTTTTTTTTGTATCTTCCACATTTAGTCTTATCATTATATAACCATTTCTTCCATTTCATTCTTGTCAACGAAATGCATGCGTCATTACTTTGATGAACGCTTTGAGAAATGAGATATAAAGATAACGAGTAGTAGCCAAGCTCAAAAGTCCATTGAAACAACACAAATTTGGAGCAGAGCAAAAACGGACCTCTAAAAAAATCAGAGGTGGGAAAATATATTTTAAAAAGATATCTTTTAACATAGTAAGATGTGAAAGAATGTAAAATTAACCATATGAATGATTATTATTATTATTATTTGCACTTCAAGGTGTCATCAAATTCACCTGAGAATTCAAATTCAATGATGAATTTTCAAAAAGTTCTTCTTTAATTTAAAAGAAAAAACGAAATCATAATGTATATAATTAGATGGCAAGGCAAGCGAATTCAGGAAATCATTGACTTTGGTGAGAACACGTTACAAAAATTTTCAATTTTTCAACTACACATTTTAGATTCTCAATTCTAAGCATACAAGCAAATCTCTTTACTCTCTTTTAATTAGAATTCCTTGGAACAAAAGAGGGACATTTCAAAACATAAAGTTTCGTGAAATGCATAAGGCAAGAACTTTCTGTTTTTGTTTTGTTTTTTGGTATTTTAATCGTTTTTAATAAACACTTGTCGTTAGACGTCTCAAAGCTATGTACAATGAGGCAAAGTGTTGTATAAATGTCAGATACAAAGCCAGTGCTATGAAAGTTGATATATCCAGTCATATAAAGTACAATACATGAAAATTGTAGGGTCATTGACATTGTCATAAAAGAACGTAGGCATTAAAATGGCAATGATGGGTTGTAAGTTTTATTATTCAAATTTTTAATGATTTATAGAGATATCGAGTGTTTATGTGTAATTTGAATAATCCACAATGTGAGATTACCGTCCACTCCAAACAATTTAAAATTTATGGATCTCGGGAAAGGCCTAAGTTCTCAGGGAAATGTCAACCAAAAAAAATTACTTTATCAATTATCGCTCAAAGTACTGTTCATATATCAGAACCAATGCAAAAGGCAAGCTTCAAATGAAATGATGTGGGATTTTGTTAGTAGAAAATTTAACCAAATGGAAATGAATAGAAAGTTTACAACATGAGCCCAAAATAAATTTATTGTCAGACACTTCGACTCTGAAAAAAAAATAATATGGAAATTTGGCCAAAATGGTAAAACTGGGCCGAAATGCAATGTACATTACTATACAGTACAAAATATTACATCCATTTAAGTGTAAATTGTCTGACTAAACTCGCTTTAAATGGGATAAACAAAAACATCACGTTTCCGACAAAGAAGGTCATTATTGGTAAGAAAAGAATTTTTTTCATTCCAGAATCATAATTAAATGTAGCTAGACATTCTTTTTTTCATAGATACCATCATTACGATTGTGTTTTGTTTACACTCATTGCCGAGCATTCCAAAGTTGATCGAACCTTGTCATTTCACATGTTTATGGTTTTCAGAATAATTTTTCTTTACAAATGCTAGATTCCCTGAAATGTACATTTCATTCATATTTGCCCATTGAAGTCATACAATATATATTCAAAGGTATCCCTTTTTCTTTACATATTGGTTTGAAAAACATGACCAACTAAGTTTTGTGTACTGAATATATATATATTGTACATGTTTTAACAATAAATAAATGAGTTTATGTATCTGTCAACGGAGAGGTACCGTAACAGTTCTGCAGCTATTACAGTAAAACTTGGTTATATCGAAGTCACTGGGATCTGTGAAATTACATCGCTATATCCGTAATTCGTTTTATCCGTATAAGAAATTCATTAAATTTAATATAGCTGGGGATCCAAGAAAAATTCGGAATATCCGTGAATTCGATATATCCGTTTTCGTACTAAACGAGTTTTACTGTATCCCCCCCCCCCCCAATATTAATAGTTTTAAGTCAATGCTACTATTACCACATATTTTTCTTATAATGATGTTATATAACAGGGTGAGTGCACTTTCCTTTTTAGTTTATAACTATATTGATTGTTACTTATTTTTGACTCTTTATCAATATTATTTTAATGTATAAAAGGTTTGCTTAAGCATTCGTTACTTGATTAGGATTTGTTTAAAGATAGTCGCCAAGTGTCAAAAACTCAGTGATCAATTTTCTTTGTTGAGACCTGGAATTCCCTGCGTAATTTTAACAAATGTCTATAGAAATCCCTTGCCTTTTTTACTGGACAATTAAACATGGCGGCGGGGTACCGTTTCCGACTGGTGAGACATAACGGAACAGATCGAAAGTTTGCCTGGAGAGGAAGTAGCTCTACCCAGAGCTAAATTGGTATCAATTACCGTTCGATATCTCGCCATCTTGTTTGATTTTTTTTTATCCTGAATGTCCCCAAGAGTTGTATTTTCCATGAATAGGTTTTGTAAAAGTGTAGGTCTGATGGTATATCGCCAGAAGGGACCAACTCCCACTTATATAAATTCTTAATGTCAATAAATAACATTTTAGATCGATTATGTATTTATTAGTTTCACAGTCATTTTTTTCAATTTTAATAAAAAAAAATTTGGATAAGATCAGCATATACATGTACACCAATGATCCAAACTTCTTTATTTCACTGAACAACAATGTATGGATTCTGTTGAAGATACTTTTTTGCTTGTCCAAAATATACATATTTCTAGACATGTACTTTTCCAAACAATCTATAATTTTATTGATTGTGATCAGATCTCTGAACTTGATTTACTATTATATGGTAGTCCTGATCATGCACTCTATTAATATTCAAATATTTGAAACAGTACTTGAATATATAGCGGCAACAAAACGTTTTATTTGAACACTGTCATATATGTAACTTTTGTCAATATTTCCAAACCGGTAGTTTATTGTATTTTTCCTTCTTTTCTTTTTCTACAATGTTTGTTTAATTAGTATTATACCTGTATAGTGTGTATTTACCTTGACCTTGTTGTAGGGAGAGGGCTAAAATAAGTTATACCTGCTGCCCAATCCCATTCACTTTTCTTGAATAAAATTTTGTATAAATTAAATTTCACTAATCAACCTTTGTTGACTTTGTCTAAATAATTTTAGAAAAAATATTAATTAAAGCAATTCGCCTTCAGAATCAAATATTTGACATAATTTTTTCGTAGATCACTTTTTTTGTCACGATTGTGATTCAATATCTTTGGTACAGGTTTTGCGTTGTTTTCGTCTCCGTAAATGAGAACATTGCCCCGGTATCTGTTTATACAGTGCTATATAATGATAAAGCAATCTATTAGGTTCAGGTTCACTCTAAACATATAATATATTTATATGATTTTATACTGAGCTGTTAACATGAATATTTTATGATATAGGTTCATTTATACCAAAGTGATCATCGCAGTCAGATTCTAAGACAAATTTTCTCTGATGTTGTGAGGAACTCGGTACATACGAACCATTAAATTAAATAATTTATTGTGTCTGAGTGATTAACAATAAAACATTTATATTATTGGTTTATATGATATAAAATGAAGACCAAGACGTGAAGTTTATCTCAAAAACAAATATTATACAAATACGTTTCACGTTTATATTCATAATTTTGCAATGTATATCTTTACTTTTTTATACTAGGATGCCATATTTGATGAGTGTCATTTTGTTAAAAGAATATATATACTCTGAACAGTGTTTTTGAAATGGGAAATTACATTATAATTAATTTTTCAAAAAATTAGATATATGTAATTTTGATGTGGTATTCAATTGATTTGAGAATAGAAAGCGGAAGATATAGATCTGAAGTGAAACACTTTATGTGTTGAGAGTAAACATGTTCCGATAAATAAACTCTTTGAATGTGTGTTTTAAGTTTTTAAATTTCGAACAATATAAACTGATGGAAAATTAGTAAAATAATTGTCATGATTTTAAATAGGATATGAGTAAAAATGGTAACAATCATTGTCTCATGGGTAATCCAGCCAATTTTCCTAAAGAGATCAAACTCAAACAAAATTTGTAAAAGACAGATGGACGGAGTCATAGATTGGACATCCATGAGACAAATATATGTACTCGGGATATAAAATTGTATCTAAACTTAAATCTAAAATTCAATCGCAAAGTAATAAATGAAATACAAATTAAACAAAGAATGTACCACAATAAAATTATTCCCATCACTCAGACAACTCTTCAAATAAGCTTACTTTACACGTAAAAGTAAAAGTATTTTAAAGTAATATTTACATATTGTTATACTTCTATATATCGTGTGTCACTACAAGAACACCATACAATGTTGAAGAGGGTAACCTTGTAATCTGGGACCTGATTGATATCATATCAACACACCAACAATCTCATTAACTTTAAGTTTATGTAATAAATAAACAAAATTTTTCTCTCAAATTACTTATTTATTGCTTGTGTTAATTACTTAATCTGTTCCATCAGAAAGTGGATCCAAAAGTGACGTCACACCTGCTACAAAATCTTTGAAAATCGAAAATTATCAACAAAATTTTATATAATAGTACTACCTATATTTATTTTGACCTTTTCCTTTTCATTTTATTCAGATATATGCGATACTTTTTAAAAGATTACAATTAACAAATCGTTAGGTTTCATCTATCACCGCAGGTCAAGAATGTACCGACGTCGTTCTGACGTTTCTCTTTGGCTTTCAGTTCATATATAAATCTATTAGATAGGCTAGCTCACACATACGTTTTATTTCATGTACACCCCAATGAAGTGCTGGAACATCTGGTTTTGAGCTATTTCAACAAACAAAATTTAACTTTCCATATTGCTTTTGGATATTCGTTTTGCTTTGCGAACATGTAAATCTAGCGTAGTGTCGGATTTAAGAGTAAGTGACGTGACGTGAAAGACTCTTCTTCCACACCTTCCACTTCTTCTCAGCATCTCTTTATCGTTTGACTTCCATTTACATTTGTATCTTATGCAACTTTTGTATCTTTACAATGTTATTTTCTCCCCTTATTAGTAGTTAATGTTGATCAATTGTAAATGTCAAGCCTGGCATTAAGTCAGGTTATCCAACTTTTCAGCATTTCAAAAGAGGAAGAAGAAAGTTATGGGGTTGTGTGATCAGTCAACCTTTATTGTCACTTACTTTTGAATCTGATGTTACATAGGAATGCATAAAAAACATTTGGACAAAGTTCAAAGTAATTATAATATTGCAATTCAAATCAAGACACTGTATTGCAAAATGACAGTAAAAAGTATTAAAAAGACATCTGGGAGATTAAAAAAAGTGCCGAAAAGTAACGTCATAGCGCCGTGCGGCAATTGACAAAAACCTAACATTGTGTTTTCTTGATATTTTAAAAGTATATCATATAAATGAATGAAATTTTAAGTCAAAATCAAAATTCATAGGGGTATTGTTATGTAAACTTTTATTGATAACATTCGTTATTAAAGATTTTATTGCAGTTGTAAAATAATAGATTTCCGTTCGATTGATACCAGCCCTTCAAGATTGCATACATGTATTTGAAAAAGTCTACAAGAAAATACATTGCAAAAATCTGTGCATTAAAGGAATTCAATCCAGGATATCCTATAACATTCAGCGTCCTGCAGAAAACGCTTTGTAATGTAACGCTTAGTTCAAGGTGCTTTATGCTAATTAGTGAAAAAGTGCACTTCTGTGACGTCATTTGGATGCAGTTACTTTATAAAACATTATTAAAAGAATACAACAAAAGTCAAAAAGGTATTTCTCACGTAGCTTCAGTAAGTTTCTAATAGCTCAATTTCTAGACAGTTGGCCCAACAATTCGTAGAACATAAGTTATTTCTCTGACAGATAAGAGTTTTATTATCTGTAGTGTAGGCAAATAAACAACGTTATGTTGTCAAAAGGATGCAAAAAATCAATTTGAGACTGTCAAAGTCTAGGCAGATTAGCCATTATTATTCTGCTATCGGGCTATAGAAGCCTATCGCCCACGACACGAATGGTGCGCGCTTTATTGAAATGTCGTTTTCTTTAGGGGTATATACCGATTTTTATATGTGTCATATCGTCCTTGTTTATTCTTAAAGATTAAACAACTCTTTATATATGTCCTTTGTACAAGTGCAAGATTAATTGGGATATTATTAAAGCCTTAAATTTACGGAGAGTGACTTGCAAAATATAGATGTGTATCAGACAAAAATGATCATCTTTAAAAAAAAGATGCCATACATATTTATACTGGAGTCTAACGACAGAGACTGCATACTTTTTGTCGTCTTAAAAACCTTGATATAACTACTATAACATGGTTTTGACGACGATGACCGATAATTATAAATATTTTTACAGAGTGTATCTGCTATTTTTAATCCATGTTGAGATCTATTGACCAAAGGATTGTGAGAAATAATAATACAGTAAATCTCAGTAAGACTGATCATACTTCGCTAAATATTTATCAGGGTTATATGAATTAAAACAGCGTTCCATAAAACAGCTCCTTGATGCTGACCAGGAAAAATTGCAGTTGAAATATTGATTTTGAATCTTACACATTTTATTTCATAGAAATTATACAAGATGAAATACGCCAGATTATTTGCCAAGCAAGGTTATTTTTCCCCCTTTCTCTCTCTTTCTTTCTTTGTGATTTAAAATATTTTAGCCACTTTGTTAAATAAAATCAATTTTTTCCACAAGGCAATTTTAAATAATCGAAGCATATTATACCTGTTTTAAAAGTACAATTTACCAGTTCTTTTGCTTGTTAAATTAGAGAAAACTATTTATTTAAAAGGATCATCGACTTTTTATACACAGATTTAAGAAGGCTATGGTTGTACATTTTGCAAATTGCCATAAAACCGTATTTTAGTAAATCTTCAAAGTTAAAACAATGTCTATCTAATGTATGTACATGTATACTTATTTTTCTTGTGGCCTGATTTCTGTATTAGACCTATAAAATAAACCAACTGTTTTTTGTTATTTCATTCTTGAATTTCATATCTGTTACCTTTGGATAAAGAGCAATCAAACGAAATAAAAAGTTATAGTATAACTCCTTAAAAAACTAATAAATCAACTAAATTAGGAAACATGGAAGTTAAACATATAAATGTACAAACCCCTTTGATAATATTTCCACAAATATTTTGGTCCACATGAAGTTCTTCAGTTCGGTAATAGTGTAGTATGGACATAAATGCCCCAGAGTGTCTGTCAAAAAAGTATTCGCCATTGTCCGCATCATAGCTCTCATCTGCTTCTTTAAGAGTAGCCAACAAGGCCAGTCGGGTTCCTGGAATTCTCTCCAATGTACTAAACCAGGTCTCAAAATAATGACCTCCAATATTTAATTTCACACGTTTATCATTATCTTTCCGCTCTTCTTTCATCTGTTTGATATATTCCATTGCGGAAAATGATTATCCTATTGTCATCGAGACATCATGTTTGTTCTGCCTGCAATAAGCAAACAACTCATAACAACGGTGACGAGTCAATCTTTTTTTTTTTACATTGCAGAATTATTTTTTTTTTGTTCATCAGTATTAATCCCGCCTTTCCTTTAGAATTCTATTTAATTTTGCAAAATTATAAATATAAATATAAAAAAGTTTTCCTCCAGTAGGGTTCTACATCGACTGCTGCAGATAAAAAGAATCACAAACGGTGACCATTTGATCTTGGCAATTTGTTAATAAAACAATACTCTCTTGAGGATGCGATAATTCCACAAAAGCTCTCAGCTCCCCATTTCTCTCTACACATTAAGGGAGAATGAAATAAGATAACTCATGAATTGAATTAAATATTAATTCTAAATTCTTTGGTTTCCATCCGCACTAACTGTTTTTGGAATCAAATCAGGTGTTATTTACGTGCGCGACAATGAAGTGTCCCGTAACGGAATAGTTGCATGGCGGGGATCGCGGCACTTAGCGAGAGCTGTGTTACCTACTACGGTGAGAATGGCTTCAGATCGATATTCAATCAATATTTTACTCCTCATCATTCGCTGTCCGATCGGTAAATTGCCGATTTTGAGTGGATTTTTTTTTAAAATTCATTACTGTTTTTCATCTTTGTCATAACATAGATTAATAAATATATCATACTTATTGACTGATATGCGATATTAACTTGACGCAATCATCTGTAACCGATCCATGTGGTATAAATGTTAAAGGATGATGTGACACAAAATTCATGCAATAATATTTATTATGTATATTGATTCAATATTGCAAAATAAATTTGTGTAACGCAATATTGGTTTCCGAACACAAGAGCGGCATGCTGAGAGGTGCCCAGGACACGTTATCGCTGTACCTGAATACATATGATTTGGAAAAGCATAAACTATGTATATTTAAGTCCTGATTTATATATGGTCTATGCTCTGAAAATAACATAATCCAGTTAAACTCAACTCACCCAATTTCAGCTCCTTTGCAGTTGTACTGACATTTTACAAACGTGCTAACTGTTATAAAAGGAAGATAGGTACTTCTACAAACCTTCCTTGTTCTATTAATAAATTATATAATACATTATACTATATATATATATATATATATATATATATATATATATATATATATATATATATATATATATATATATATATATATATATATATATATATATATAAAAATAAAATTCATGTCGTGCAATTTAGTATTTATAAATTATACATATATCAACAGAACAAGGAAATGCTCAGTTTGTGGAGTATCAATCTTCCTTTTAACTAATCTAAAATACATGTATAAACCTCCTTGAAAAACAAAGGGGGAAATTTAAACCCATTACTATCACGCTAATAATTTAGAATTCTTATAAAAGTTTGACTATCACTCCATATTTTTCATCGAACGTAAACTTCCTAGTTTTTATAGACCTTCGAGTTTAAATTGCAGCATGGGTTGTTTTTATTTAAATGTTGTTGTTATTGCATGATGTGTAAAAATAACATGAAAAGATTTATAACCATTCATTTATAAAATTAACGAAAAGGGGTTGATTTTTATTTTTAAAGACTGGAATGTATTTTATTTTTATTTATAACCATTCATTTATAAAATTAACGAAAAGGGGTTTATTTTTAAAGACTGGAATGTATTTTTTTAAATCAATATAGCTAGCCATCTTATTACTGTTTCTGAAATTTTACCATTTTAAACATGACATAGCTGTAAGGAAGTCACAAAAAATGTATCCATTCAACATTCTAAGATACTTCCGGTCTATCTGAGAGATAGGTTTACTGTTGCATATGAACTCAATTTATACGGACCTCTCCGAAGGAATCTTCATGATTAAAGTTCTTCCGGTTTTTAATACAAAGCCAAATATACATGTAGTTTAACTACTACCTTGCCAATAAAAATTATTCTAGTTATTAGGTAAAAGTTATTAGTTACTATTTGTATTTATCGTGATTTTGTGTATATTAGATAGGATGGTCCTCCTTTTCTACTTCAAAATATTTATGGCCATGGAAATCTGATTGAAATTGTAATTACTTTAAAAAAAACAAAAGCTATCATAAAGGAGGAAAACCCAGTTTAATATATACACTGTACATGCATCTACCTTTGTTGATTAATGACTCAAAATGAATATTATTTAGACGGATTTTTAACATTTTGTAACTTTAGGAAACAAATTCAGTCAAAATATTATGCTTCTTTTATGATATTTGAATCATAAATCGAACGATTTATATAAAATAATAATAATATGAATACAACGAAATTTATTTTCGCCATAAAAGTAGTTTTTTTAGGTTCTGAAACCTTTTATTTTATGAAACTAATACTTTCAAGATTTCTATTATCCCTTTATACGTTACTGTGTCTCTTTAATTAAGTAATGTTCGAAAATGGCTACATGTAACTTATAATAGAATGAGACCAGATTACCTTTTTGATATTTGAAACATCACATGTATGTACAATTTGAAATATATGATGATATTTACATCCACTGAATATTATCTCCTTCATTTCTTAAGAAATCCTTTGTCGTTTATCAGTCAGTAAACACCGCAAAGCATATCACTTTTACAGACTTCTTGAGCGATGGCTGTTCCATCAATGGAACGTACAACGACGTACATATCAATAATACTATAATTCATCTACTAAATCCTACTTTAAATGATTATTTTTACAGATATAAATATAAAAAATAAAATGTCTTTCTTTGATTGTTAGTACGGGAATTAACGTTGAAGCTATAGCAGAACAAATTACATAACCCGCTTACGCGTATTTTTTTCTTCAACACTAACACTAAAAACCAAAGAAAACATTTTATTGTTTAAAGGAACAGATATAACATCTCAGCAGCTTACTCTTTTTCAAGTATATTGCACAAACAGTCGAACACTCTGTGGATGGTATCTAATAAAAAATATTGACACCTTTAATCGTGTTAAATTATAGAGGCACAACAGATGATGAATCCAATGGAAAGTTGCCAAGCAACCTGGATATAAACAAAAACTTAAAAAGTCTGAAGTGGAAAATGTCGATTCTTTCATTGTGAAATGTGTATGATCTCCTGTAATCGATCCTTCATATTTCACTGAAAAAGAACACATATTTGTTTGAATCAATATGGATTTAAATAAGAAAATGATGCAAAATAAATATTGAACGTGGTTGATCTACAAATATTTTATGACATGATGATTTCAAGGACGAACTCAAGATTAATGAAATGTCTGATGAATACAATATACTAATTTTTTGGATATATATATTTAGGATCTCCCATGATCTGTGGTAGGATATGATTTTTACCCAACGAGTTGTGTGGATTTTTTTTTTATCACCGAGCCTTGGCATGGGGATAAAAAACACACAACGAGTTGGATAAAAATCACATCCAACCAAAAATCATGGAAGATTCTTTTTATCACATGTTTTGTACATCACTATCAATGTTTTACACCGTTTATATTTATGAATCCATGTTACTTTACTTCATAACTTTCACGCAAAACCCATTGTGACGTCACTGCAGTGGGATATGAAAAAATATCCAATGAGTGATATCCTGATCCACGGAATAAAGGGGTACATATCGGATATATATATATATATATATATATATATATATATATATATATATATATATATATATATATATATATATATATATATATATGTGTGTGTGTGTGTGTGTGTGTGTGTGTGTGTGTGTGTGTGTGTGTGTGTGTGTGTGTGTGTGTGTAAGGGTGTGTGTGTGTGTGTGAGGGTGTGTATGTGTGTGTGTGTGTGAGGGGGTGTGAGGGGGTGTGTGTGTGTGTATATATATATATATATATATATATATATATACACGAGTAATGACAGTTATTTTACCGGAAGTCCAAGGGTTACTACACCAGGTTAGAGAAAATTCGACATCAGTATCTGAAAATGAGGCCCTCTTAAATGCCTTAGAATATTTCTTTCGCTCAGATCAAGAAATTGATAAACCTAATGCATCGTAGAAATCGAGCTGCAATTGTTGTACATGGCGGACTATCACGCTGTAATTGATTGGTCGGAAGGGGGATGTTTTAAGAGTTATAAGTTATTTCCTAAGGTTTAAAGATAACATTCAAAAATGAATACAGTAAGGTAAAAAGTAAATTTACAAACATCAGATATTTCATTTAAACCTTAAATGTCCTAACAAAGTTATAACCTGTATATAATTTTCCCCCTAAAATTCTTGTGCGTTTCACTATATGAACAGTTATTATTACATCATTGTAAATGAACCTTTTATATTTTAGCAATTGAACATCGTATTCTAATTCTATCTCTTGTTTACTAAGACAAGAAATGTTACATCTATTTATCTTTAAAATGATACATGGATTGTGCAATCACTTCCACAATCCGAAACATTTTCATTATTACGATTTTTCACAGCTAGAAAAGGATAAGATCTGACAGAAAACCATATCTATACATGTGAGTGATTAATGTTCTCGGCGATGTTTGATGCCATGTTAAGAACCAATAGCCAAAGTGGAAAAGTTGATGCATTTTTCATCAGGTAATGATATAAATGTTGATGCAAACTGTTTTAGCGGGGTTTTCGTGCTCTTTATTACATAAAATTACCGGTAGAGACAGTACAGAATCTAGTGGTAGCATCTTTCCATAAATTACTTGTGCTTGGATAAAAAATTACAATAGTTCATGTAAAATTAATTATACATAAATTCTTTTTATCAATGCAAATGGATGAAAAAGTAGATTTAGTCTTTGAAACATGAATTTTTCATGATTATCACTGTGTTCATTGCTTATCTATCATATGGGCCTTGGTTTCATTAAAACATTATCGGAAAGAACCTTGAAATTCCATTATCTTCTTTCTTCAACAAACGTATCCTATTTGCATATTTTAGTCATCTGGGACAGCTGTCCATGAAATTTTTATTAATTATTTATTAGTCTTT